AGGAGCCCCAGGCATGTGTCAAGATGGGGATCAAAGGCGAGCTCTGGGGGTTGCTGTGAAAAGTAAAATGGCAGTTTCCACACAAAGGGAGGAGGCAGGAGCTATGGGGGGGGGCACTTGCCAGGCAGACTTCCTACAGGTTCATAGAGCAGTCTGTGGGAGCAGAAATCCAACTGGATGCCCAACCAAATGCAGCATGCAAACTGGGCTGCCTCCCTGAGAGCAGCAAAGACAGCGCCAGCTGAAGAAGAGGAAACAAAGTAGAGCCTCCCCAGCAGCTTCGCCGCCTCTTTCCCCAGGGTGGGGTGCAGCAGATTACAGCTTTATTTGTTTAAACCTTGGGATCTGTAAGCATTCACAGTCCCCTTGACTTGTGCTGCCTGGTTGTAAAAAGAACAGTTGAACGAGCTCATTGTTTGGGGGCTTCTTCCTTTAATGTATTTTACAAACACTCTCGGTGACAGGCCTGACATGCAGATTTCTATGTACTCGCTCTCCAGTCTGGGATTACAGCATTAATAACACAGTTCCGTGCTTCGTGCCATTTTTAAGCATGATCGTTATGATAAAGGGCATATACTTAATTACAGGCCTGCTTAATTACAGCTCTGCTGAAGCTCGTTTGTTTAGGAGAATGCTAATTGCGCCACGGAGCCCGCGGCACACCCTCACTCTCCCTCACTGTCATCTGCTCCTTGTTGCTCCAGTCGGTTGATCGCGGATCAGCATTTGTTGAAACTGCCACCAATGGTTTGTTGTTGTTTCGTTTTTTAAGTAGAAAGAAGAAAGCAGTGGCCTGACGCTGAAGGGACCCAGGAGTCAGATATTGGGTGGCCAGGGTGCTCTCCTCACAGCAGGCCCTGACTGCTGTCAAATGTGTCTGCTCCTGAGCCACTGTAGCGTGAGACCCATTTTACAGACAGGCTCAAAGGTGTGGTGGCCCCAGCATGGGCACAGCCACCAGCCCATCCTTCCCCCACAGGCCAGGATGTGAGTCTGAGCCCTGGCTCTGTCACACACAGCCCTGCACTTCTGGGTGCCTGACTTTCCTGAAGAGGCTGCACCTTGTACGAGGGGAGGAGCAGGATCCTTCCTCCCTTCTCTTTCGTGGAAGAGACTGGAAGGACCACGGACTTTCATCTTTCTTCCCTCATTACCATCCAGGCTTGGAGGAACTTTTTATTAATGTCACCCTGGGAACGCTATCTGGAGAAAGGACCAGCACCTGGTGTCATTCCTGATTCTGCAACACCGTTTGGTGGGATCAGGGAGAGGCCCTGCCCTAACTCTTGCTGGTTGGCAGGGCACAGTAACCCCATGAACCACACCCCTTCAGAGAAGTGTGGTCCTGAGTAGGCTCAGTGAGAGGCTGGCATCCAGGGCGGCAATCCGTGCCTTCACTCTAGAACAGTCCCTGGCTGGAGAAGGAGGGGAACAGAGCTCCCTGTGAGAGGGGGCACAGAGATGATTTATGAGCAGTCTTGGGGATCACATGAAAAATGTGTGCCATCGTTTTTTAAGGATTATGTTTGTCAACATATTTTCAAATATGGAAGGCCTTCTGGATGCTGGAATGGATGCTGTTGAATCAGAAGGGGCCTTCCCTCCTACAGCTAAACTGCAGCACACAGGCCCTGCCCAGGCCCCAGCCAGTATCAGTGAATCTGCCTGTTTGCTTTGTGCAATGCAGAGGAAAATGGAGTCCTGATCTGTGATTGGTCCAGCCAGCCCTTCTCCCTGTGTCCCTGGCTTTCTGGCAGATGGGAGCTTATGCCCACCTTACCCAGACATGAGCCCTGCCCTGCCTGCTCCCCATGTGTCAGATGCAGTGCTGGGTTGCTGGGCAGAGTCTCACCTTCCTGGGGCAGCAGGCCTGAGTCCGCCTCTCCGTTTCCATCTGGAGTTAGCGTAGGGTCCCACAATGTCCTCCCTCTCTTGAAGGCTCTCAGAATGATCATTCGAGAATATAACACGAGCTCAGAACAGACCAGTGGCACTCGAGTCCTGTGGCCATGCCGCACCGTGGCCTTGCCATGTTCAGTAATCAAACCACATTGATGTGCGCACAACCATCATCTGAGCCCTGTCCCCTTTTGTCACCGTGCATGTCTTCCATGCATCCTGTGCAGCTGGACTGAAACTCTGGTGCTACATTGACCCTGGTAAATCCCATGCTCTGATGTAGCCCAAGTGTCAGTATTCTGCGCCCTCCGTCAGATTTCCCTGTCAGCCAGCTAACAGGCATCCTTCCAGGTCCCTACCAGCCACATTTCACTTAAACATCCCATGTTCTTCTTAGATAACAGGGATGCCCTGGTCCCGTCAGAGCAGCTGGGTCGTTACCCTCTTCCCACCTTTCTGTGACTCTGGGGCTCAAACTCAGATTTGCTGTCAGATTTGTTCAGTAAGCACCTTTGCTCACATCTCAGCAGCTCCTACTGCGTGTGAGAATGCTGGTCTCCGTGCCTGTCTGTGCACCACACGCAGTGCTCACAGAGGCCGGAAGACGGTGTCGGGTCCCCTGGAACTGGAGTTACAGTGCTTGTGAGCTGCCATGTGGGTGCTAGGAATGGAGCCCAGTGTCCTCTGCAAGATTTTAACCCCTGGGCATCTCTCCAGTGCTTGTCCCAAACACACACACACTAGATTCTTTAAGTGCAATTTGGTCAGTAAGTGTGCCTGGAGGTCACATGGCTTCAGTGTGGCCTGGGGGTTGGCACCTCCTCTTAGGCTCTGCCCTCTGGTTATCCGGTGAACCAAGATCTGTTCTCTAAATAAGAGGAATGTCTGACTGCCCAGTCCCCTGTTGTGAGACCCCTTTACCACATCTAACCTCAGTCACTTTACCAAATGGCTTCTTGAAGTCGGGCCTGGGCACGAGGGGCTTCCCTCTCGGCTGCCAGTGCAAGCAGGAGTGCATCTGCCACTACCATCCTGGCGGCCACCACCATCCCGTAGCCTGAAGTTCCTCACAGTGTGGAACCCCTGCCCTCTGTCGTCTAGGCCCAGAGCCCCCACGGGGTTCCAGGTGAGGGCTTCACTGTAGAAGCGGGTAAGAGGAGCTGCGTGCGGTAGTCCTGCACAGAGGTGGGAGCAGCGCTGCGCGCACTGTGCCCATGTGTGGTGAAATGCGATCGATAGTTGAGTCCAAGCATCATAGTCAGGGCTTCCGAGGTACCGCTTCCTGCCTGTGTGACCTTGGTAGGCTCCGCCTCTGGAGCCTCGGTTTCATCATCTCAAAACGATCAGAAGAAATGTCAGGGCCTGGTCCCAGCAAGCCTTCGAGGTCAGAGCACACAAGAGCCATGTGGGGCTTACAGCTCACGTTGGGTGGTCAGTGGCAGAAGCCAGTGTGGCCTTTCTGGGTGTTGACGGGGCTCGACTCCACCCCTCCCTGACAGGCGCGTGGCTTTCCAAGGGTCCTTCGTTCAGGACGCTGTCTGCTGTGATAGGTCTCCACGTGGTTCTAGGGCATTTGCACGCCAGTATATGACATCATCCGGCTTTGTCCCTCCTTCCTGTGCTGGTGCGGCGTCATGCCAACACTCAGCCCCGTGTCTTCTAGGCTGTAGGCCCAGCTGCAGCGGGAGACGGCCCCTGCTACAGCTGTCTGTCGAACCTGGAAGGCACACCCAGGAGGCGCTCCTGCAGAGGGGGCTCCCCTCCCTGCGGCATTACAGACACAGCTTAACACACTCGGTGGGGCACATCTTTCAGAAGCCAGACTGGACTCGGTTCCACCTCTCCTGAGCTCTCCTTTCCACTCCTGCTTCTCTCTGCCCCCACCCCGAAAGCTGGTCCCAGCGTTCAGATACCAAGGAACCCTTCATTTTAGGAAATGGGGGTGGGGTGGGGCACACAATGTCCATTCTAAAGCCACAGTCTGCCACAAGCCACCCTCGCTGCAGGCTGCAGGTCCCTACACAAGGGCCAGATGTGTAGGCTGGATCTCACCTCAGCTGCATGCTGACTTCTGAGACGCCATCTCAGCCAGCAGCCCAATCGCTGGCTCATGGGCCACACTGTGACCCTGCATCCTGACTTCTGAGACGCCATCTCAGCCAGCAGCCCAATCGTTGGTGCATGGGCCACACTGTGACCCTGCATCACAATCTCCTCCTCTAAGGCAAGACTGCCACCATTTGCCAGTGGAGATCTAGACACAGGTAGATTGCAGGGAATGGGGTACAGAAAGGAGCTGACTTTCTGGGTCCCTGCATTCCCCGTTCACAGGCTGCTCATCCCACCCTTCCCCTGTCCCGCTGTAATTAAGCACACAGGGCAAGTCTTGACTCAGCCCTGAAGCCGTGACAAGCAACCAGTAACCATGAGCCTATGCTCCCCCTTCTGCACACACACTGAGCCCGCTCTGCCAGACCCTGGGCAAGTTGCCTGCACACTTCACTGCACACCCAAGGCACACCTTGCAGCCATTAGCTAAGCTTCATTTACAGGCTTTTAGATGCCTACCCCAAGTCCAGGCCAGAACTTGAGAGTAGTCATCCTTACCACCAGACTACTCATCTTTCCAGGGAGACCCTGATGGGCACCCAGAACTGCCCAAGAGAGGTGATGGCTCAGCCTAGAGAATGTACAATGGACACACTTCTTCCAGCTTCCTCCCAGAATGCACCTCTGTCCCCTCCTACCCATTCATCACTTCCTTCCTGCTGTCAGGCCCTTAGTGGCTCCCACCACTTACGACATAGGCTAGATTCCTGAGTGGGGGTGGGAGGGGGCTTCCATACCCGCCCTGTGCTACTCCCCCCATCAGCCACCCCTGCCTGACTATTCCCAGAGGATCCACAAGAGGCATCTGCATCCCTGAGCAGGGTGTGGTCCCTGGGATGATGGCACCCTGCCCCACTCTGTAGCTCACTTGAACTGGGCAGTACCTGCCCCCAGCCAGGGACTGACTGGGCCTCTCTGTACTAACATCTTAGGTTCCTGGGCAGCAATGGTGTCTTAATAATGCCTTCCTCTCCTTTCCTCTCTTGCAGCAATGGATGGCGTGCCTTTTATGATTTCAGAGAAGTTTTCCTGCATCCCAGAGAGTGTAAGTGTTATGCATGACCCCTCCACCTCTCCAGTCCCTCAGCGTCTGTGCATATGAGCTGCTCTTAGCACCCTGGACCCCCCTGAGCCCGGGGAAGCGTTTCTGCCTGATGAGTCTCTTACTCTGGATGCTGAACCCTAAAACCAGAAGGCGAAACTTCCGAGAGCTGGGATGAGCTCTGCTCATCTCTGGGCCCTTCAGCTGGGGCCTGTACCTGGCAAATGCTTGAGAAGGGGAAGAAAATAGCAGGTAGGGGCCAAGATTCTAGAGACGCTAAGCAGATGTGTGCGTCGGGCTGTGCTTTTGCATTTGAGCCTCGTCTCAGTGTTTCCCAAGTTGAGCCTCGTCAGTCTGGCTGTTTGTTTGTTTGTTTGTTTGTTTGTTTGTTTGTGGCTCTCACTCTGCAGCCCTGGCTGGCCTGAAACCAGCTCTGCACACCAAGCTGACCTCAAACTCACAGAGATCCACTGCTTCTGCCTCCTAAGTGCTGGGATTAAGACATAGGCCACCACAACCATCGTTAATGATTTTTTTTGAGACATATAGCGATGGCTGGCCTGGAGCTCACTGACATGGATCAGGCTGTCGTCAAATTCAGGCCGCCTGCCTCCTCTTTGGTGGTGCTGCTCTAGCACACGTGGCCTCGGCTCTTTTTCTCACGGTGATGGGGTTGGCCCCGGCTCCCCACTGTCACTGCAGCCCTGTGTGTGCTCTGTGTGGCACAGAGCGTCAAGTGCTTCTGGCGGTCTGTGGTCTCTGCTCAGGTTGAGCCCTGAGCCCTCGTAATAACAGAGGTACTAGGTGAGCCAGCCAAGAACTAAGGTCGGTTTCCTGGCCATGCAAGTTCCCTGCCACAGCCAGAGCCGGGCACTGGGCTCCATGCCCTTCTGAAGACATCGCTCTGGTGGTGCCTGGTCCTCGAGACAGCCTTTACCCTCTCTCCTCTGTGCAAGGCTGGGCCACACTGGGTCAGTAAAGTTGTTTCTGGCTTTTATCCTTCCTATAGAAGATTGCTTTGAGGCATCACTAAACACCAAGGCCCTAGTTTGGCCCAGTAAAAGACCCCTCCAGTGTTTTTCTTGGACCCAGTTTAAAACTACCCGGCTGGCGATCCAACCTGCTCTGTCGTTTCCATTTTTATGAAATATAATAGGCCTCCTCTGAGCCCTTCTGGTAAGCAGCTTAATCGTGAAAAATGCTCCTGACGTGACATGGGGAGCCTGAGGAACTTCCGCAGACTCCACTTGGCTGCGTTGCCATGGAGACACTGGCACCTCTCCCACATGTTCCTGGGAGAGGCAACTCTGCCCTGCTCACCAGCTCCAGTTGGGAAAGTTTAGTGGAATAGTTAGAGCCTAATGATGCAACAGCTGGACCTCTGCTGGCTCCTGGGCCAGGCGGGCAGGCAGCCCCATCCTCACACCATGAAGACTGGCATCTTCAGCATAGCCAAACTGTTTTGTGGCTACTGGTAGAGCAACCCCAGGAGCTCAGGGTCTAATTTGGTGGCCCGATCCCAAGTTTGCCCTCACAATGTGCTGCTGCCAATTCAGCAAGTGCCCAAGGCCACAGATGCAGGCCAAGCCCAGTGTTAAGCCCTTCCAAGCCCTTCTCTGTTTAATCCCCCTGCAGCCAGACCAGAAGGGCCTACCCATGCCACTTTTAACAGGGCTTTAAATGTGGCTTTTAAAGTAAATATGAGAGGGCATCCAGATGCCTCAGCAGGTAAAAGGGCTTGCGGCAAAAGTCTAATCACTGGAGTTCGATCCCAGGAACCCATATAAAAAAGGCAGATACAGCGGCATGTATGTGTAATCTAGCACCCCTAAGACATGGGAGTTGTGAGCCAGCTGGCCTAGAGTAAGTACAAAGGGCAGTAGAAACAGGAGAAACCCTGCCTCGGCGAGGCGGAAAAGAACCAACTCCTGAAAGCTACCCTCTGACCTCCACATGTGTGTGTGCACAGTCACACGTTAAAATATGCTGAATAAATAGAGAATCTTAACCCATTCTGCAGCCAGTTTGGAATCGAGAGCCTTGGACTTGGGAGCCAGCCTCTGGTCACCACCATGCAGGACATCCCTGTAGCCCAGTGCAAGCGCTAGCTCCCCACCTACTGCAGGGCTCAGGGTCCAAGCCAACCAAGTCCTGGGTTCTGTGGGGATCTCAAGCTCTCCCTGCCAGCTAGGCTGCAGGAGGCTAGCCTGCTGCTCCCCGAAAACACAGAATGAGTGTGCCTGGAAAAATTCTGCACTGGTGGCCTCACAGACAGAGAGGCTCACACAGTCCAGCCCAGGAACCTGCGGCTGACTCTCTTAGCCGGTGTATTTGCCAGGAAATGTCCCATTGTCCACAGAATTGCAGAGCCCCCCCCCATTAATGTGCAACAGTACCACGTCACCAACCTTGACCTGGCAAACCATTAGCTGGTGGATAGTTGTTTCCTTCTTCTGTCATCGTCAGAGACCTGGAATCCACCAGATCCTTCCCTAGACCCTGCATTCCGACCTCTGTAACTGCGCCAGACACTTCCAGCCCATACACCACCACAAAAGCATGAGTCTTACTCACTCTCTCCTTTGGTATCAGGAGAGGAGATAAGCTAATTGACCGCAGGCACGCCTTCTGGGAGGCCATGACACCCCACCCCCCAGTACCGCGGATATGGGGTAAAGCAGTCTTGTGGTGCCGAAGGCTCAGCCCGCCATGCTCTTTATGACGAGTTCTCCCTGCACTCGTAATGACCGAGTAACACAGTGTCCATTCCTGTGGGAAGGGGTGGGGATGCTACTACAGCTTGGACGTCACCGCTGTCATAAGAGAGGGGTGTCCCCAGCCATCAAGAAGGGTGACTTGGTCTGTCCTTTCAGATGCAGCCTTTTGATCTCTTGGGAATCACCATCAAGTCCCTGGCAGAGATTGAAAAGGAGGTAGGTACCCTGGGCTTACAACACTGCTCACTCCTCTATGGTCCCTGTCCCTCTGTCAGGGCTCTGTTCCAGAAAAGGTGGGTGCAAGAGCCCTTCTGAGCTAAAAGCCCTCACTTTGAGTCACTTCGAAAGCACCCATCACTTGCCATAGACCATGACAAATGCCTTGTCCCCTGCCTCATCATTTGCCACCAGGACCATCTCCGATTTGACCAAATCTTGATCCAGAGGAGTGTCCTAGGCCCCTCATCCCTCATATTTAGCCATATGGGCCCCCTCCCCAATTTGGCAGGCTGCTTTGATGGCATCTGGGCATCATAAGAAAGACACCAGGATCAGTGTCCAAAGGAAAGTTCCAAGGAGACAGGCCTGAAACAGTGGGGTCCCACAGGAGGCCAGGCCCGCTGGGACTGCCCCTGTTCATGGGCAGCGTCAGCATGCATATCCTCTGTGTACAGAAGACTGCCACGCTCACGTGCTGCCACCAGAGCTCCTCAGAGAGGAACATTTGTCTCACAGATGGAAATGGCAGAACCATTTCAATATCCTTGGTTCCTTGGGGTTTTGTGTATGTACCCAGCCAGCAGAAGCAGGCTGCATTATTGAAAGATGGCTGGAATCAAGGAAAATTGAATCAATGCAGTACAACAAATTCCTAAACCTGTCAAAGCAAAAACAAGATGAAAAACTCCCCTTTGTCTTTGATTCTCAGTAAATCATAAAAACATGATTGTCACCTATAGTTTTGTTTGTTTGCTTGCTGGCAACAGGAGAAATGGCTGGCCACAATGCTAGAAATCTAGATGTGTGTAGGATTTCGCATCTGCCCTTAAAGTGGTCCTGCAATCTGCCTGCTTGTGGATAGCCTTTGCCAGGGACCCAGCATAGGGTGGGTCTCCCCATGGCACGGAGCCTGTGGTACCCAGGGGAGGCTGTGAGAGGGTGGCTGCTCCAGCCGCAGTGGAGACAAGATAGACCAAGTCACACAGAAGTTGGGGCGGCCTGGGAGGCTGCTGTAGGGGAAACGGGAGAGCCTGTCTCAGAGCGTGTCAGCCAGCGTTGTGTGCACAGGCAGCAAACTCTGGTGGCAATGGATACCCAGTGCTGGGGTTTGGTGCTGCAGAAAGGGGCATCCAAATTCCCTCTCTCCTGACCATCCCTGCCCTTGCCAGTGGGCCTTGACAGTAGCATCTTTTTCTTACGAAAAAGATCTCCTATTTGGAGCTATCTTGTTCTCACCCTGAGTGACCAAGTGACCTCTTTCCTCCTTTGTGTGAGGCAAAATTGAGCCTAGTCTTGTCCTGTGGCTGGAGGTTCCTCGAAGGGGGCTCTCCGAGCCGGTGGGGACAGTGGGGGTTTGGGAGACCAGTCCGCCTGGGCTCTGGGTCAGTGAGTAGATAACACCCTGCTGTCAGGCTGTGGATGTGAACCGGATGTGTAGGCTCTCCCTCTGCTCCAAGCCTGGCACCTGGCCGAGCGTGTTCTTGCGGTGCATTTTCTTCACCTCAGCACTGAGCTGGGGGTGGTTCCCCCACGACACAACACTGGGTGTTGGAGACAGCTCTGGAAGGAACTTGTGGCTTGACCCCAATTGTTGTGACTGACTTTTCTGAGCCTGGGTTTCCTTTTCTGTCAGATAGGGTAGTAATGGAAGCGTCAGCCATGCTTACTGGGGCTTTGGCACGGGCCTGAGCCTGCAGCGCTGGCAGCATCGCCATCGCCAGCACCCATCGCCACCGTCCTCCCTTCCCACGGGGCAGGGCAGGGGGCAGTGTCTGCCCCTCCCATTCTGGCCAGCCGTAAGGGAGATGCAGAAGGGGAGCAGCGAGTGGCGGGAAACGGTGAGAAGCATAGCGTGAGGACTCGGATGTCACCTGCACTTGCCATCGTGTGCTCCGTGTCATGGTGTTCAGGGCGTCACCGCCCACACTCTCCTTCAGAGAGTGCCGTCTTCTGCAGCCAATTCACTGAGTCACCTCAGTGAGTCACCTCAGTGAGTCACCTCAGTGAGTCACCTGGGAGCGGCTTGTGCTGCCTCTTCTAACCCTGACCACAGCGTTGCTTCTGTGACAGAGACCTGAGAAGAGCCCTGGGCCATGGCCTGCGTCCATGCTGGGCCTGGAACAAGCAGGGTGCAGGAACCGGTAGGGAACCCCTTAGAACAGGTGTGGTGTTGTGTGGGTCGTCTCTGTCTCGGCCCTGCTGACCTGGCCGCCCATGGGAACTTGTTAAACCACACCCCCAGACAAAACAGAACATCGGGTATTTAAGGCAGGTGACTGCCTGTACTTTTTTGGCATTTATTTATTTCATGGCAGCGGGAGCCTGATGCACAGAATGTGCAGGTCAGAAGATAGCTTGCGTGATCTGTTCTCTGCTTCCATCGCTTGAGTTCCACAGCTAGATAGAACTCGGGTTGGCAGCAAGCCCCTTTCCCCAGTGAGCCATCTCACTGGCCCAGAGAAGCGCCTTTGAGTTTGGAGCACAGGCTAAAGACCTGAACATGCAGGATCCTGCCCCTAGCTGCTCCCCACAGTGGGAACGAGGTGTCTGGGAAGGCACTCCCTCTGTGGGCAGAAATAGTTTCCAGCCACACTCAAGAGGAACCTGGACTGAGGTCGAAGGAACAGCCAGAGTCCCTGGCAGTGACGAAGCTATCAGCAGGTGTGGCCTCATAAGTGTACCCCTGCCCCTTCTCCTGAGGGGACACAGCTTGAAGAAATAGTGTCCATTCCTGAAGGCAGCTGGTCAGTCTGTCCATCGACATTGCTGTGAAGAGACACCATGGCCAAGGCAACTTACAGAAGAATGCACCTAACTGGGGGTTGGCTTACGGTTTCTGAGGGCCAGTCCATGACCGTCATGGCAGGGAGCACGGTGGCAGGCAGGCAGGCGCTGGAGCACAAGCTCACATCTGACCCACACGCTCATGGCAGAAACAGCAAGACTAGGCCTGGCGTGGGCTTTTGAAACCAAGGTCACCCCCAGTGACACACCTCCTCCAGTAAGGCCACACCTCCAAATCCTTCCCAAGCAGTTCTACCAACTAAGGCCCAAGCATTCAAATATGTGAGTCTGTGGTTGCCATTCTCGTTCAAACTGCCTCAGTAAGCATGCTCCCCCGCCACCCCAGCTAGCCACGGAGATTTTCTGAAGCTGAGCCTAGCCCTGTCTGCTACTCACCTTCCTGAACAAGCCTGCCATAGAGCTGCCGGGCCTGTCAGCCTGACAGCAGTCAGGGATGACGCTACAGAACCTCAGGTAGATGCCAGCACCAGTGTCACACCCCGGCACCTGCCCCGGTGTTACCACAGCCCGGCCTGACCCTGAGTGGCTCGTAGCTGGGGGGACAAGGCACCTGGTGGTGACGGGCGGGCATAGAGTGCAGTGCTCACCCTGGCGCACAGGGACACGAAGCAGCACGTCTGACTGGCAGCAGCACTCAAGCTCCAGGTGCCCGCCCGCAGGCGTCCTTCCCAGCGTGCTCAGGGTGGAGGCGGCATGCGGCATGCGCAGGACACTGCCTGCGGTCGGGTGCCATGTGTTGGTAGAGGCGATATGGTATGGACAGGATACAGGCCCCCAGTCTGCCTGTGTTAGATGTTAGATGCCGTATGTGCCCATAGTTGGGGTTGCTGGTTGGCTGGTTGGCTGGTTTGAGACAAGATCTCAGTTTGTAACTCTGGCTGGTCTTGAACCCACAGAGATCTGCCTACTTCTGCCTCCAGAGTTGACAGGATTATTCACCACCGTGCTCAGACCTCAGACAAGTGCCTTTTGCCTCTCCAACCCCAGCTGGGGCATAGGCCTCATGGACCAACCCCATAGTGCAGTGTCAACTCTGGGCACCTGACAGCTGGCAGAGACTCCAGCTGCCCCCACTGTCATGTCCCCAGGGCCGCCTTTAAGTCACAGGAAGACACCCAAGAAAAGTGGCATTTAAAAATTATTGTCAAAATACATGCCGTCAAGCAGCATTGTGGCAGGGGAGGAGCCACCGAGAAGACAAAACCCTCGCCGTGCAGGCAGACACTGAGATGTGGCTGGGGGAATGAAGGAAGCCGTGATTAATCCATAGCTCAGCTGGAAGGCCGGCACCCTCAGCGCTCAGAGATTTCCTGTCTGCCCATCTTCACAGAGCAGGGTTCCCGTCAATTAGGTCAAGGAATAGAGTGAATTTTGTGTCTTCCCTTCCCATGGGAGGTGACCAAGGAGTCACAAGGTTTTCTGCCCTGTGGGAGGGCGGTATGGGGCTACTGTCCTCACAAAGCCACACTGTCCCCCACCCCCGCCCTAAGAAATGCTGCTCCGTTGAGGAAGAGGAAAAATGCAATTCCACAGCCATCCATGATGAAGCGTCTTCTCTCCGAGTGAGGAGATGGGCATATAAATATTCCCTGTCTCCACGGCTCTTTATTTCCCTTGTAAGCAGCCCCCCATTTCTCCATCTGATGGATTCCCTGTCGCAGCCAGGGTGGGCGTGCCCCACACTCTCTCTCCAGTCACCTCCTCAAAAAAACCGGCCCTGCCCTAACTGCCTGAGTCCTCCGTTTGCCTCCACCTCCTGTGCAGCCATGGGCCTTCACCAACCCCACGCCCTTCTCCATCCCAGGTCCGCCCCACACAAGCCTTTTAAATCAGAGCAACGGATCCCTGCAGCGGAAGGGCATGGGCGGCTGGGAAGCCAGCCCCTCCAGGCTCCCCGTGAACCAGCCTACCCGGAACCCTTTGTGGGGCACATGGGGCTGTCGCTGGGGGTACCGTCTTTAGCCTAGCTCTCTTGCTGGTGGGAAACCAGCCTCCATTTTCACAGGACTTGAAAGCTGAAAGAGGGAGAGTCTCATTAGCAGAGGGCCCATCTAATATTAATCACCCCCTTAAAATTGACAAGGGAGGCAGTTCATTTAACCACTTAATTGCTACAGGTTTTTATGGGCTGCTGTTTGCAGACATATTTAATGAAGAAGTTATAAATCTAAGAGAGCTTAAAATTTTAATTT